GAGAGAGAGAGGGGTATGTAGATCCAGTTTCTTATTCTTTTTGGGTAGTTAAGCATTTTCCTAATTGGAGACAAGAATATTGAAGATCTTTCATTGTTGCACATTGTCTTTAGGTATGCCTGGACTGACAGCCTATGCAGGATTTTTTGAGGTTTGTTCCCCTAAGAAAGGAGAGCGTGTATTTATCTCAGCAGCTTCAGGAGCAGTTGGCCAACTTGTCGGCCAATTTGCTAAGTCGATAGGCTGCTATGTTGTTGGTAGCGCTGGTTCCAAAGATAAGGTAAGCTGATATCAAAATTTATCTCCTCTACCATTAAAATGGGATATAATTTTACTTGTAATCTTGGATGGGAGTCAGAATGTGCATCCTATATGAAATCTATGGCTCTTCTAGGTTAATATGTTGAAGACGAAGTTTGGGTTTGATGAAGCTTTCAATTATAAAGAAGAGCATGACTTGGCTGCTGCATTGAAAAGGTACGCAAACTTTTTCACAATTGAACTCATTTGAGACACTTGCAAAGTCCCGTCTTCAGGTTTGAAGTTTAGACTATTCTTTGTTACAAGGTGGTAGGCTTTACAGTTGACTGGGTGATGCATTTCTAGAGCTCCTTATTTAGTTGTACTTTAATAGTTCTTAATACTCTTTTCCCTCACTTTCTAGGGCTATCTTTGTCATTTATCAGTGGCAAATGAAACATTGTTCCATTCCATTGTATGGGTATGGGGGTTATTTGTATGGGTTCACTCACATTTTCTGTGTTGATAGCACGTCTTCTGGACCATAAATCTATGCCAGCCCCTATGTTACTTAGATATGGGCACAAGTCTCCGAATCCCACGCATGTCTATGTTTCTAGTGCTTTAACCCAAAAGACCAATACAGCTACACATGTCAATAAGTTTATTATTTTATAATAAAATAATAGACTTTTAATTTATATATAATAAAATGTTCATATTTATTACACTTAATGTTGGTGGTGTGGTACCATAGAAATTTTTCACAGGACATCTTGGGTTCAAACTCTTGTGCCCCATTTTTTTAAGGGAAAGGTTTATGTAGACCCGAGGCTCTAAACAATCAAATTAGAGCCTACCTCAAAAATTTCACTAGAAGAAGTTGTTTTGATGCCCAAATATCCTCAAATTGATCATCTCGACCTCAAGATGCATGGACATGAAAAAAAATAGATTTCAAGTTTTGGAAATAGTGTATTTTGTAACTCATTTTTGGACTGTCAATTTTCAAAATTTTCAAGTTTTCATATATCCATCGATCTACACTATTTTTGAAGTTTTAAACTTTATAAATAAAGATAAAAATATATTTTAAGGCTATCACAAAGATTTTCAGTATTAAAACCACATTTCTCAACACTATTTGAAGGTATGCTCTAATTTGATTGTTTAGAGCCTAGGCTTTATACAAACCGCACCCTTTTTTTTAATATCCTCATCTCTAACTGGAAATGTCGACACTGTGTCCAAGTGTATGGAAAAAGATGGGATTAGCCCACTAGCTCATATGAACATATGAGCCCAACGGCCTAGATTGAATCTGGGCCGATCTGACAATCATGCATGTCTGGGAGCGTTTGAATTTTAATTTTTTTTCTACAAATCCAAATCACTTAAAATTTAGGTTTATGTTCTTCTCATCAAGGTGCACTTAATAAAAATATAAAAATAATTATTCGCAAAAATAAAAATGATCAAAATACCTCCTGAAACTTTTCAGGGGTATTTTGGTCAATTTAATTCTTTGATGTGTTTTACATCTCAAAATTCTCCTGTTCACTGGTTTCTTATTTTGAAGTCACATCTTATTTTCACTAAATCTTTCATTGCCGTTGCAATTTTATTTGTTTTAGTTTTTGTGTTTCACTCTTTAGGGTGGTTGGGTGAAGTAGATTAATATTATGCTTTGTTTCCCTTCATTGTTCTTTATGATTTTGGGTTCTGGTCATTCAAAAGAATGATCGTTAATTTAAAGTTAAGTTTTGAGTGATTTTAGAGTAAATCACTGAAAAATACCTATTTGAAGCCTTGAGGTAGCACCCCAAAATGACTAGCAGGCAAGATGAATTTTTGCCATTGTCCAAGCTGAAAATGGCATCCTTTGCTTCCTCCTTTCTAACCACCTAACTAAAATTATGTTTTTAAAAAATAAAACCAAGAAAAATGAAATACTTAACAAATTTAAAAGTAAACAAGAGCCTCAAAAGGATCACACCCTAGGAAAGCAAATTTGATCTTCCCTGAAACTTAACTATTCTCTCCTAACCTATTTCGGGAGAGAATGATGAGCTTCCCTTGTATTGGTAAGCATGAGATTTGAGTCGACAACCTTAAGAAGTAGGACTGGATAAGACCCTACTACTCTCTCTCTCTCTCTCTCTCTCTTTCTCCATTAGATACCAAAAAATCAGTTCCTATTGTGAATCTCTGTCAGGTACTTCCCTGAAGGCATAGACATCTACTTTGAGAATGTTGGTGGAGCCATGCTTGAAGCTGTGCTTTTAAACATGAGATACCATGGCCGAATTGCAGTTTGTGGAATGATCTCTGAATACAACCAAGAGGAGCCAGCAGGTGTACGCAACCTATTAAACATTATGTCGAAGCGCATTCGAATGGAAGGGTTTGTAATATTCGATTATTGGCACTTGTACCCTCAGTTCCTAGAGAGGACTACTAAGGGCATCAAAGAAGGGAAGATAGTTTATATTGAAGACATTACAGAAGGTCTCGAGAATGCACCCTCGGCTTTCATTAAACTCTTCACTGGCGAGAATGTTGGCAAAGTAGTAGTTGAAGTTGCTCGCGAATAATTTATATTGTTACATAATGTTTGATACTATAGCTCCTAAAATAAAGGCTTAAACATTGATATTATGCTTTTGTAAATTTGGTTTAAAGTTTGGATTTGAGACTCTTTTATGTGTTGGATTTGTGCTAGTGTTGAAGGCCTATTAAATTGTACTAGAGAATAAGGCATCTTTTTTTACCTGAAGTTTGAATTTGGGCCTAAAGTTGGTATAATTTGGGATTTTCTTCATATCGTGTTTGTTTAAGAGTCATCAGTCTGTGTGCCCGAATTATTTCAGACATGAAATTTGTCTAAATCTTCATTATCCATTTTAAAGGTTATTTTTTAATTGTGATTTTCTAGCCAATTTCAATCCAAAATCCAAGATTTCCAATTCTGCCAAACCAAAACGCAGACAAAAGTTCATCCTCTTTTTTTGCTATTTCTCTTCAATTTGAGCTCTTGTCTATCAATAATTGTTTGATGAATGAGAACCCCACTATTCTTTGTGGACATTGAACGGTCACGGAGTGCTAGGAAAAAGTAGGAAATCCAAATCATGACATGCTATTTGTGTGTTTCGTGTTAGGTTTATGTGACATTTAAAAGCCATATGAGAGTTTGTATAAGCATTTTATATATTGAAACATAAATTCAATGGGAGTGTAGTTTTTTTGTGGACCATATTAAGCAAATGTTATTTGTTGATACTCGAATTAGGTTCGACGAGCTAGGTCAGTTGAGGTTTGAAAAAACCCAAGATATCTGGGCATCGGAATCTATCGATAAGGGTTTAGTGGGCTATCCCTTAATGACATCGGAGTATGCTCAGATGAGAGCCAAGGGACTATGTGGTCTTTGCGTGTGATGAATAGCCTTTAGAGATGGGGTTAAAACTTTATTGTTATATCATCACACAATATGTACATAGAAAGCCATTTTGAGATTCACCAATGAGGGTGAAGCGTGTACATGTGCGAGAGATTACCTCTATGCACCATAGAATCATGGTTGCATCATGGTCTGGAAGACCATGATTTTTGTCTCTAGGGGAGAACCTGAAATCCATAAACTGGGATTGCGTCTCCTAGTCTATTGGATGATTTTGGTGGTCCAATCATGAACCCCTATAGTGGATTGTGGGTCATAGGAACTGTTAGGTCAGTTTGAAAAAACTAGGGGGACCGTGATACGCAGTTGTATGTGGAGTGCTCCCATATATTGATATTTTTCTAGATCTACTAGATTCGATTCCCATCAAAATTAATTAATTTTAATTAATTTTATATTATGTGATTTTTAGAATGTTTATTTGAATTTTTGTGAATCTTATAATATTTTATTTTTATCATTTAGATTTATAAATTAAGAGAAATTAATTTTTTAATGTTTTAAATAAAATATAAGATTTAAAAATTCTAAATATGAAATAAAATATTTTTTAAAAATATATGGGACCTCTAAAAAAAAATATGAGGCCCAAAATTTAAATACATGTGGATTAGGTAGGACCCATACGGGTGGCACGCCCTACCCATTCACGTACTCTTCTTGAAAAGAATGTTTATCCCTTGTTGGCTTATCTTTTGGGTATAGTCATAATAAGATTGAATATTTAAGATATTTACTAAATCTTTGAATCCAGATTGGTTGATCCAATAATTAAAGATTTGATATTTTAAAATATAAGCTTTCCTTATTTGATGGGAATAGATATAGGAAATGGATGGGAATAGATATAGGAAAGGGAAGATAAGGGTTTAGCTCATCTCTTTGAATCTTGATGGTAGATCAAAGAGATTGATAGCTCAAATCTCTCACCCCACAAGTCTTCATAGATCGACGGTTGATATTTGACCTTATGAATTGATGCAACATCTACGGCATAAAATATCTATCAAAAAAGGTCTCCTCATGAGATATGATTCTCTTCTATCTCTTTAACAATCATCTTTCCCTACTTAAAATTGAGCTCTCTTCCAAAAGGGAGGCACGTTTTAATTTTTTATCTTTCTCTCTCCTATCTCTCTGTCTAAGTTGCATCATATCTCTCTCCAAGTTGTACTATGTTTTTGGTGGCATGCACCGCCTCTTTTCTATATGGGTGGCAAAGGGATAGAACCCCTCCCCCTCTCTCATCATATTCATCTCTCCTCTCTTTAAAATCAAGCTAAAAGGTTTGATGACGATTAAGTCATTGAGTAGATTTTTGCCATAGTAGAGAAATCAACGTACCGATCATAGATCCCGAGCACCATCGGAAGGAGGAGACTCGGCGTGGGGTGTATTAAGCCCGATTGAGGTAATCTGCAGCAATATTACCTTTTTTAATATTTACTTCTCTTCCCATAAAGCAATAAATTTTAGTTTTGTTTCTTGAATAAATAATTGTATTTGAAGAAGTAGCAATTGAGAATCGATTTTCTTTTTATTTATTTCAAGAGTGGTTTGATTATAATTGGATATTGTAAGTGATATTGCTGGTGTAGGGGTAAATAATTTTTTAAAATATATGTACACCGTGTTTTATCCTAAAGTCCTTTCATTGGTATCAAAGCAAGGTTGATATTTGAAACGATTAGATGTTTTTTTTCCCTTTATTGAGTCGAGATAAAGCTTGGGAATGAGATGTAAAAAAAATACTAATATTTGTGGTCAAGTAATACACCTCGATTAAGAATTATTGAAATATTCAAAACACCGAGAAAGACACTTTACATAATGAGTATTCTGTGCTGTTTTGGGATAGTTATATGAAGACGATAATGATGTATTTCTCTGTTATATACTTAAGTGATTTTGTGTGTCTTTGAGAGTAGGATCTACCTACAAAATTTTAGTAGGAGATCCTAAGGGAATTGAGAGTTATGGACTCATGATTGAAGGGTGTAAATTTTGATCACGAAAAATCCAAGAACTGTCCATTGAGTTCTGTGATTTTTTCCACTAATAATATGATTTTATTTCTTGCTGAAATTTTACTGTGAATTATAAAATCGAGTCTACTTTCAAACAAACAAAAAAATTCATGAGAAATTATTTGTGATTTGAAAGATATGAACGATTTATTGAACGGTGAGCAAGCGTTGTTTCTGCAACAAAAATTATTTCTATGACTAGGAAGTCAAGATTTTATTTATACTCTTAACTTAATATTTTATGGCTCACACTAAGGTTTTACACTTCAATTTTGAGTCTAGTCTCTAATGAAATTTATTTGACAAACAACCTCCAATAACAGTGATACTAAAGTATTTCTAAAACCTACCCAATTTGAGGCTTAACAAAAAAATTGAAAGTTGTGCTACCTTTATTGATAGGAAAGGAAAACTATACAATAAAACTATCTTTAATGATGTCACTATCACTTCGGCTGTTGGATGATTTTTTTAACCTTTGTGACATATCACAAACCATGAGAAGATTCAAGTTGACAGCTCTAGGACATCGAGAACTTCCTTGTACGAAAGACAAATAGAACTACTTATCCAAAATGTAGCTATGCGGGCTCTTAATAAATATATGTTTAAGATGGATTTTAATAATTAATTTTTAAAGACATGTAATCTCTAACATGGAGTTCATGAATACGAAAAAATAAATAAGTTTTAAAAATAAAAATAATAATTCTAATAATGAAACATTCCGACCGTTAGTTTCTTTTGTTTTTAGAACGAACACCTACTTGCATCGACATTTAAAATAGATGCTTTACACTTTTTTGGACCGAATATGTAGAAATGTGGTTAGCCTTTCCAAAACAAAAAGTCAAATAGAATTAATATTATGTGATCATATTTGAAATATTTATATCTATCTTTCCTGTTGCGGTTTGTAAAAAGTAGAGGCTCTAAACAATCAAATTAAAGCCCACCTTCAAATAGTGTCTAGAAATATGATTTCCATATTTGAAAGTTTTGTGATAGCTTTAAATTATATAACCATCTTATAGTTTTTAAAGCTTTAAAAATAGTGAAGGTCGAGCAGATCTATGAAAACTTTAAAATCTTAAAAGTTAACTGTCCAAAAATATATTACAACATGCACTATTTTCAAAACTTGAAATCTATTTTTTTCTCATATCCATGTAATCAAAGCAACCTCTTCTGGAGAGCTCTAATTTGATTGTTTAGAACCTAGGCTCTCTATAAACTTTTCCCTTAAAATAGTGAAAAAAAAATTCCGTGTCTAAACAAAGAAGAGCACCCTCATTGTGGCAAACGATCCCTAAATCTTCGTCCACTAACGCTTCCTTTCACCCTCCTGAAATTACCGCGTCCTCACCACCTCTCGTAACTGCTTTTAATACTTTTGAAAAATATCTCCCTCTCTCAATGTTCGAGAAATCGAACCAGATTTAGAAACAAGGGCCATGTCCAAGTAACCGGTAAATCAATTGGTTCACTTGGCCGAGCCAAGCAGCTTAGGGCCGGTCCAATGAGTGTTAAAAGGTTAAAAAAATACAAAACAAATTTAAAAATTTATGAAAAGTATATTTAAAACATAATTAAACAAAATACATCCAAATGAAGTTGAAAAGTAGTAAATAAAATGAATTTTAAAAAATGAATTGTACCTAGAAGTATTTTAAAAATAATACAAAAAAGAAGAAAAAAATAGAATAAATTACTTACAACACTATTTGGGGGTCCAAGTTCATTATTTTCGATATTCAAGGTGCCGTTTGTATAGAGCTTAGGCTCTAAACAATCAAATTAGAGGCTACCTTCAAATAGTATCGAGAAATGTGGTTTCAATACTGGAAATTTTTGTGTTAGCCTTAAAATATATCTTCATCTTTATTTATAAAGTTTAAAGCTTCAAAAATAGTGTAAATCGATACAAATATGAAAACTTGAAAGTCTTGAAAATTGATGGTAAAAAAATGCATTACAAAATACACTATTTCCAAAACTAAAGATCCATTTTTTTTTTTCTCATGTCCATGCATCTTGATGCCAAAATGATCAATTTGAGGATATTTGAGCATCAAAAAAATCTCTGCTACTGAAATTTTTGAGATAAGCTCTAATTTGATTGTTTAGAGCCTCAGCTCTATATAAACTTTTCCCTCCAATTTATATGTATGTTTGACCAATATGTTCTCTCTAAAGCATGTTTAGTTTGTATCTCCGGAATCTCCCTCGTTTATTTCATCACAGGTCTAGTAACCGTTAAGGGCATGTTTGTTAGTTTTAGGGGCAGTTCTCA